GTGTACAAAAGCACCCTTCTCACGACTATTTATTAGGGGGAGACTGTTCGCATGTACGTCACATTCTTATATTTTTCTAGTGCTATTTTTTTTTATGGAATTTTTTTGGGGGGGGCTACACAAAAGTTGGTGGGGGGGGGCTAAAGCAACCCCTAGCCCCTCTGTAGAACCGCCACTGGTCAGGGAAGGATTGCTACCAGAACACAAACAAACAATGTATCATAAACAATGGAACTCTCGGGTGGTGGGTGGTCACTCAGCATCATCTACTGCTCCTGAACAGAGAGACCGCTGGGAACCCTGAACTTTGTCCCATTCTTTGTCGCAACCTCCAAAAGGATAACATCGCTTGCTGTGGCTAGGGCAGGATACTGCAGCACCTATAAAAAATAATATTATCAATAACACAGTTTGAAGCATTCACAGTGGCAAACAAAATCATAGAAGTAAACAACTTGTACACTGATCCATTAAAGGGTTCATGAGATTAATTTTTCTGAGGAACAACTTTCTACTCCGATTAAATATATGAAAACTACATGTATTTAATGACCCTTTTTGGTTTATTTTATGGAAAAGTACCATTTTTTACACATTTCAAATTGTCCATGCTTTTCTGGACAACTGAGGGCGCTTTTGCTGTGATGTCATTTCAGGAAGACAATGTTCAGTTTTGGGGTTTTCTGTTCAAACTGTGATTGCAAACATTTGCTCATTGAAAACCTGTCTGAGAAAAAAAGTTTGCTCACTGGCTTACTGCCATGTACTGACACAACAACGGATCGCCAAAGAAAAGAAAATTTAAGACGGCATAACATCGACAACTCTGGGAACTTTTGATGCTGGAATAAGTAAGATTTGAGGCTTTGCATGGTGGAGATACTAATAAATGAAAGGTTTGCAGAAGCACCATGTGCGAATAATTTCTAAACTAAACCAGAGGTATAAACTCAACGTTCCGGTCAGTATGCTCTGACCGTCTTCAAGATGCTGGAATAGATGCAACATTGAGTTTTTTTCCTGAAATGACATCACACTTTTGCTCATAAATATGGACATTTGCATTTGCATAAAAACCAAGAAGTTACAAAAATACCCAGGAAAATGGCAAAACTAAACCTGAAAAAAAAATAGGTTGAATGGGACACAAAGGTTTGCATTAAATAAAAACTGCATAAGCCCTCTAACCCTAACAACCCTGAGCCCATCAAGCTCCAACAGCGGGTTTTGCTTGATTTTGGCAGGGTTGGTACCGAACACTGGCCAGTTGGTGTTGGACTTTGATTGACTGGGTACCAAAGGCCCAGGGAGACCCTGTTGAATTTTGTGAGGTTCGGGGCAGAAGGGCATGAGATTTGTGAACACGTTGGAGTTTGAGGGAGTTCACTGGCATTTCTTCGTGGGTATGCTCACCCACGGTCCTCAGCACAGTTTGTGGTCAAATGTGCATGTACATGGGAGTTCACAGGCATTTCTTCGTGGGTACGCTCACCCACGGTCCCCAGTACAGTTCCTGGTCAAATATATTGCTTTATTTTGTTAGGTTTGGTACCATCCCTATCCAATCACTCGACAATGCATAGGCCCATCCATACCAAGTCAATCAAACTCCAACAGTTGGAGTTTGGCAGGTTTAGTACTGTTCCCCGTACAAGGCCTGTTGGAGTTTGGCAGTTTTGGTACCAGTGCTTACAGACCTGTATGCAGCTGTTGAAATTTGTTAGGTTTGGTATACTTTCCAGTGCAAGAGCCTAGGGGGTTAGGGTTAAGCATGTTAAGCCCCTCCCCATAACGTTTGACTAATCACAGCAATGACTGCATGACCAAATGTGTGTAGCAGGCGAGGCGAAGCCTCATTTGACAAAATAATGACAGACTTTCGAATTTAAGGAATTTTCGAAAAATAATAAAGAGTAATTTACGATGCATTGTGGCCACCAAGCATTTGCTTTGAACAGGCCAGTTTTCAACTCGTGGAGTGTCGACCTCCTAAATATAATATCCTGCATTACATCATTAACACAAATGCATTCATTGATTTGATTATTCTGGATTGCAAGTGTCTTCAATTCGGGCTGCAGATAAAACATGTTCCATCTGCAAGCTAACATGCATTATATAATTGCTTACCATTCCAGTTGAAAGCAGGAATTTTGTATACCATTCCAGTTGAATGTCGTCAGCTAGCACCCGAGAATTTTGTCTCGCACCAACACAAGCTACGTACGCCTCCTTTCCAACAGACATGCCCTTCTCAGAAGGACATGGGTGGCTGTTGGGTTTTCTCGTCGGTGAAATCCAGTTTAACACCGAGAAGTGAAGCAACCTAAACAAAAACAATCCTCCATCAAATGTTTTATGTATTTCAATTGTCATATAATATAGTTTTTTTTAGATGGGTTGTGATGCAGTCCTGTTTATTAATGCAAAAAAAAAGAAATAACTCAGAACACTTGGACTCCAGTCCACAATTTAAGACGCAGACTTTGTATTCAAGGTTTCAGAGCTCAAATACTGCTTATCTTGAAGCAACTGAAGGTTGAATTTTGGATGAGAATGGAAGGTTTACGACGGGATAAACCCTCTTTGTCTGATCCTGCAAATCCCCCAAAGCTCCACCAGCCAATTTCACGAAACCTTAACTCCACTTCCACAACAATTTAATGTACATGTTGCGCAACATTTCAAGCTGCCAAACTATTCAGTTATGCCAATTTCACGAAAGTTTCAGATTGCGTGAGTGCGCGACTTACACAACACATTATGGCCTAATTTACGCAGTCCCTGTAGGTGGCGTAAGTTATGGCGTAGCGACTGAAAATCAACTATTTTACTGGCAAATCGTTGCCATTGTGGAGCTTGTCGTTGCTCAACTTATCAACATGGATACAAGATTCTCAAAGTGTTGTGTTTGAAGTACAGGTATATTACCCATGACGGAATTTTTACAGTTGCCGCACGATTCCGAAGAAAGTAAGACAAAACTATTTTCAAAATGGCGGACTGGGTGACTCAACGACTGTTTTGTGACTGAACAGTAATATTGACAAACAGCCATTGTAAATGCTGTTAATCTCCTTGTCCAAGATGTTTGAATTATTAAAAAAGTTGCACAGCTATGACGAGTTTCATGAAATCGATCGTAAGTCCTACGAATGGCGTAACCTACGCCTGTTTCGTGAGATCGGCTGAGGGTGTAGTTTAAAGGGTTCGAGAAGTTAGAAACCTATCAAAGCATACAAATAACACTTACCTGCTTGAATTTGTCTCTGATTTTTTTCAAATCATCCCAGTAGCTTTCGTTGTTTATGTCGTTCACTTTAAAGGAGGCAAGCATGGCGTTCAGCACATCAAGTGTTTTTACTACGCTGTGGAGATACCATAAGTCAACAATATTTTTTTTACTCAATACATTTAATTTATTCTCCTGTCAATTGAGTGATCAAAACCACATCATGGAATAGATCAAAGCAATAGAAACTGCAGAAAAGATCATCGGTATGGCAACTATTTTACGATATACTAGTTTCTATTTTGTAGGAAATATGAACAAACTGTAAGTTATTTCCCACTCTTTTCTGAAAGACGTGATGAACAATATTCCACACATCACATGGTATTTTGTTTTGATAAAAGATATTGTTGGGGAAAGACGCCACTTTTTTCATCACATATATGATGCGATCAAGCTACATGAGTCGATTGTTGACCCTGGTCAAAGCAATTTTTACACATGTATTACAGATTTGAAAAGAGCACAATCTCAGCATTACTTCTCTGAAAACTGCATGCTGATACCATCTTTAGTTAAAAAAATTATAGAAGTCTGAACACCAAGAGATGTGATAAAGTGATGTGGTGAAGTGGCCCTATTTTGGCCTGTATCTCCAAATGAAAATTCCCGACAAACAATTCATCTAGCTTGATCGCATCACATAGTATCTCAATAAAGGACGGTCATTGCAAAAATATTGAAAACACATGAATCTGGGACTGAGAAACATTTCTAATTCTGTCAGAAATACTTTGAAAATGCACTCCACCCTACATAAACTTTGTACACAACCAAAGCAGTGGCGTCTAAATACTGGGTACATTCTTTCCATTGTTTGCAAAGAATAATGTGATTCATGAGTCACAAGCCTTCATGAGTGTCATGTTTGAGTCATGACAGTTGAGTCCGAGTCCACTCTGAGTCCTTTTGTCATACGTCAATGGACTCGAATCGAGTCTGGGTAACCAAATTATACTTTTTCGATTTTCGCAACCCACCTTGGTTATGCATGACAAACAAACCATGCAAAAAAAACTAATTTAAAGCTTGACCAGTTCACTGCATTGCTTGACCAGTTCCTAACCATTGATGCAATGCCAATGTCAAAAAGGTTCTCGAATTCTAGACCCCAGTGGACTCCTGTAAAAACACCATGAGCACTCAGCAAAAGGAGAATTACCACATATTGTGGCGGGAACCCCCGGGCCAACCTAAGTCTGTTAGGACAAGTCTGACTCCTAGTGGGGTGAAGACAATCTTCCCAAACCAAGGCTCTTCCCTAGACGAGAGATCACTCAGAGCGACCTTCAAGGCTAAGGGTGCAGGTCCGTTTTGGTGGAAATCTACCGCCCGATTATGAATGAGTGTTGATTAATTATCTCCGTTAATTAATTGCACAATAAACCTGTAAACATAAACACCGGAAGCAGAATTGTCGGTAATCTCAAACAACAGTGATCGTAATTTATTCAACAATAATCAAGTACAACAATTATGATGTGATTCGGTGGGTTGTTTTATTAACAGGGTCCTTAGTTAATTACTGGAGAGAGCCCGCTGCTCGTCTATGCAACAACGCACACAGCATTAAGCACTAGACAACAATGGCAGCAATGAGCAACTATGCACAGCGCTAGTAATGAATCGCTAAGTTAGCCAAACACAGCGTCACAAGCACACAACAGCCGCTTAGCAATGTATACAGTCCGTTAGCAGGGTACCCGCTACGCCGTGCGTGTAAGCCAGAATTCAGCTACACATACCAGCGCGACCCCAGTACAGCTACACAGACTTTGTACACAAATCGCCTAAGCAATTTCACATAAGCAGGGTACCAGTAATTCACCTACTTCTCTGCCCGCTGTCGCAGCTACACCCGGCACTCAACACTCTAAACAGATGAGCCCCAAAACTATACACTCAACAAGCTATAGTATCTCACCTAACAACGATCTCCACAACTAGCAGCAATCAGTCCCAACAACTAGGCTAAACCATGTACCAATGCGCGTTCTAAACCCAAACTGCTAAACAGAGCGCGCTCCCCAGGCACTCATTTATATACCAGGTACATGTAGACGCTACGTCATGTCTACAAACCATGTGCGTGTACTAATCCTATAGTGCGCTAAACTTATGGGAGTTATTGGCCAATCACGTACGCGCAGCAGCCCACGGAGCTCGTAAGCTCCGCCCGGTCACTGCACACAAGTGATTAAGCGTTAGTGCTATGGTATGACGTCACAACTAAACACTTTCCGCCACAATATCTTTTGTACATTTTGGTGAAAAAAAACCCAGAATGCTATTCCCTAATCAGCAACCTACTTTTTCTTAGCAAGTCCAGGGTCTTCTTTCACAAGTTGCAGCCATGTTGCTACAAAGCCCAGATAGAAACCATACTCGGACCCTATCTGTCTACCCTTGACTTGTCCCATCTTGAAGCCTTCTTGGTCTCCAGCGATTTTACCTGCAGCAAAGCCTTCGGTAAATCCGTCCTCATGAAATCTGTGGTTAGATAACAATAATAATAATAATAACAACAATAATAATAATAATAACAGGTTTTCATATAGCGCCTTTAACTGAGATCAAAGCGCTTTATTACCCCTGATCATTGGGCCCTGATCATTGTATCATTGCTATTGGGATCATTATCGTCTCAATGAAGGTCAGTCATTGCAAAAGTGATGATAAACATGAATCTGGGACTGAGAAACATTTCCAATTTTGTTAGAAAACACTTAAAAAAAATGCTTGACTCTCCATAGACTTTGTACACAACCGCTGCGCTGAAGTGGCGTCAGGTTGCAATATTTTTTCCATAGCTGTAGTTTGGGAGGCCCAACCATACATGTACTGCTGTAGTTGGGATGCTCGCTGTGCAGACAACAAACAGTGGCAGTTTCTGTTATCCTTCCCCCTTGCTTTATTTTTAAGCAAGGAAGTTAATAGCCCCACTAGTGTGGCCGTCGGTATGCTGCGCTGAGGTTCAGCGCAGCATACCGACGGCCACACTAGTGGGGCTAGGAAGTTAAATGAGAATCAGAACTAATTTTATACATGTTATACGATCTGCCAGATCGATCACTACGTTCACGGCTCAATAAACATTTTAAAAATCAGAAAACCTGTCAGTGTCACAGAAATGAAAGGAAATGAAACATGTTGAATCCACGACCGCAACCTATATCTGCGCAGGTAACACTTGCAACGCGCGTGCGAAGATGAGCTATAAAAATATGAGTGCGTAGAAATAGGACCGCGCGAACGACATAGTGTTTGTTAAAATGAACAATGCGGTCACCCATCATCTGCTTTTACCTTTCTTCTGCCATTACAATTGAGTCGAAAATATCTTCATCAGGAGTTGCAACCGTTAAATCAGCCATTGTAATTATCACTTTGATATTTAATTTGTACAGGATAGTGACTGCAACTAGAAACTGTGCAAGTCACACGCGTGATCAAAGGTTCCTCTTTTTCCGAGTGAATATGAGCGCGCCCTCTTTTGACAAAAGAAAAACAGAAATGTATTGCGGAATCCCCCCCCCCCCCCCCCCCCCGGCCCTCCAACCCAAGAATGAAGAGTTTTCATTGCCCGTACGTACGGTCATCTGAATGAGCTGAGAAGTGAGAGGTCAAAACGTGAAAATCGACATACCCTAAAGGTTTTGAGTCCCTCTCAGACTTTGAGTCACCCGATCCTAGTCCAAGACCCTCGTGACCAAAGGAAATCGTCACAGTGTGTCATATTACAACCATACAACAACATCAACAAAACAAAACAAAACCCACAAAAATCAACAAAACGAAACCGTAACAAAACAAAAGCGTTTGACGCATGTGCATTTCCTTCAAGAAAATACAACCATTATGGCGGGAGAAGTTTTACTTGCCACACACGCATATCTAGTCTGTGGATGGATCCGGCCGTAATCAAAAGTGGGCGGGGCAAGAAAAAAATTTAAAAGTGGGGAGGGCGCTGGTAAATGCCCACTGTGAAGTCCATTGAAGTTTCGGCTCATGCTACAAACTAGGTGCATCAGAAACTATCGTACGAATCTGGAAAATCCGGGTAGTCATTATTGATTACTTATTTCTAAACCTGGTATGGAAAACGTGAACCCCCTGAAGTTTTCAAGATTCATAAAACAATGCACTAGGCCTAGTTCGACTTTAGCGGTAGCCTGCTATAACCGTTTGTCAAAACAGCGGCGGGCTATTGTCAAACTATTCCTAAGTAGCCAGACTGCATGGCGAGTTAAAATTTGGGATACGGCAAATTATGAAAGGACAGGAAGAAATAAATCATTAATTTCAGAAAAAGGCTAACCTGTATCAATTTATGTCTAATTTTATTAACTGTTCGTGGTTAAATTATTAGATCTGTTTATTAAATACAGTACGATATTGCCTCATGGATTGCAGGTCAACTCCCCCCCTGGCCGACTCGCCTCTTACCGACTCGCCCCTTACCGACTCGCCCCCTGACCGACTCGCCCCCTGACCGACTCGACCCTTACAAGCTCGCCCCCTGGCTGACTCGCCCCCTAGCTGACTCGCCCCCTGGCTGACTCCCCCCTAGCCGACTCGCCCCCTGACCGACTCGCCCCTGACCGACTCGCCCCCTTGAAAATTATGCACCGTACGGGGACATCGTGAAATAAAAATAAAGACAGTGGAGCACATTGCCCGGTCGCAACGTGAAACTTAATGGAGCCAAATTACTCAAACGCAAGTTTGAAGGATTTCCGATACCAATGCAAAAAACTATTGATCCTTTTATAAAGAATTTGGGTTGGAAACACCTTAGCACAACTTTACCGATATAGCGCAGCGTGATTTTTCGCGGAGTGCCCGTGGCATAGGGCCCGTTGGGCATGTGCGCGTAGTAGCGTTCACGGTGACTGCCGGCGGGCACGGCAGGTCTAGCTACCGGTGGGTGCCGGCGCGCGGCAGGTATACCCGCGTTCACCGTTTGTCAATGACATAACGTTATAATTGTAAATCTCGACTCTGGGTCCTCAGTTTCATTAAAAAATATTTTTCAGAATAAATGTTTTTCGTTTTGTTGGTTTAGTGGTGTTCTTATCAAACATACCGAACGGTTTTGAAAAAGTTATAAAAGAGGCTCAGAAATGGAACTTTCAGAACCAAATTTTGAATTGGGCAATTTGAATTGTTTCCCTCCACTGTCTTTATTATTTTTTTTTTTACGATGTCCCCGTACGGTGCATCATTTCCAGGGGGCGAGTCGGTCAGGGGGCGAGTCGGTCAGGGGGCGAGTCGGCTAGGAGGCGGGTTGGCAATGGGGGAGTTGGCTAGGGGGCGAGTCGGCCAGGGGGCGAGTCGGCCAGGGGGCGAGCTTGTAAGGGGCGAGTCGGTCAGGGGGCGAGTCGGTCAGGGGGCGACTCGGTAAGGGGCGAGTCGGTAAGGGGCGAGTCGGCCAGGGGGCGAGTTGACCTGACACCGCCTCATGATACACATTTACTTTAACTTATAATATTTTTTGTGCACATTGTTGTTTATGAGATATGAACTCTGTAGAAGAAAAACATGCGGGTTAGTTTAAGAGTCTGTTTCAGTATCCCGGCTGGCTAGTGAAAAAAGGTATAAAGTCGAACCCTGAACAAAATATTATCATTGCTCTTCAGTAAGCTTAAGAGCAAAAAAGTGGGGAATTTATTGGGGGGCAATGTTATCGGCTTATAATCAGGCGCGGTTCATAAGTCCGACGCCTCATAGGTCCGACGCCTCATAAGTCCGACAAAATCTCACCCCAACCAAATAAAGGCCCATAAGTCCGACGCCTCATATTAGTCTGATGCCTCTAAGTCCGACGCCTCATATTAAGTGCGCCTCATAAGTCCGAATCCGAAACATCGTTCGTCCGTTGTCGGAATGGGGTCTACCCGATGTTCCCCAATACCGATATTCCCCACTACCGATGTTCCCCGAAATCCTTAGGATTAGGGTTAGGGTTAGGCCTTTTCAGGGTAAGGGTTATAGGGTAGGGATTTCGGGGAACATCGGTATTGGGGAACATCGGTATTGGGAAACATATAGTTAGGCACCCGTCGGAACTTTGAGGCGTCGGACTCATGAGGCGTCGGAGCTATGAGGCCGTCCAATATGCCTCATCATAATCCGATGTCTCATGATTCCTAAATTTCGGGCTTATTAGGCGTCGGACTTATGAAGCGTGGGACTTACGATACGGCCCCATATTTTTTGGGGGCTTGCAGGGGTGGATCCAGAAATTTTGTCGAGGGAAGCGTGCTGATATGTAGGCCTAGGCCGTTTTTTTTCTTCTCCGGACACTTAGGCCTCCGAAAATCAATGGGGGGGGGGGGGTCATATCATATTTTCAATGGGGAGCGCTGATCAAATCCTACGATCATGCACACTATCATACCTAATAGTGTACAAATATGCCCCCTTCTCACAAATGGCTACTCCTCTGGCAGACATGTACGTTATTATTATCAATACAATTTCCAACAGTTTTCAACCGGGGGGGGGGGGGATTGACACAAAAAACCACCCCCTCTGAATCCGCGCCTGACCGGCAAATAGCGAATTTTATGGGTAGACCGTTCGCATGTGACGTCACCTTCTGTAACATTCGTTGCTGCTATTTCAATTTTTTGGGGTGGGGGATTTTTTTTGGGGGGGGGGGGGGGCTAAACAAAAGTTGGGGGGCCCAAAGCCACCCTAGCCCCTCCCCGACCCTCCATAGAACCGCGCCTGCTGCCTAATTATGTAATAGCAATTTTGTTATGCATGGCCGATTGTCGGCAGGTTTGGCCGAGTAAACAAAGTGCTGCTAATTATTTTCTGTGAGTTCCAGCATCCAGGCGCTATTATATTTGAATTTTGAAGGGGTTATTAAAACTGAACTGCCATCGACATTTCAACCATTTTTCAATCCATCTATTATGCGGTACAGGTACTACAGGACACTGAATCATTGACCCCGCCTCGAACATACGTGTAGGATGATGAAGTTTGAGGGAGGTTTCCCCTGACTATACGCACCTTGTTATGGGTACAACATTTCCGACTTAATTTCCTGCAATTATTCTAGCTGGTTGCACCTCATTTCCATTTCCAAAGAAAGCGGAAAGATTTCCAACGTGCATACCCCGCCTCAATGATGAGTTCTAGCTGCTGATGTGTGGACACGTCTTGTCTTAAGACGTCGCGTTTGAAATAACAATGCCAGCCTGGCATCTTGCCCATAAGCATGCACTACCGTCCGCTCGCTCGGTCAGTCAACTTTTGAGTTAGATGATCACGACATGGATCATATGTGTACTGTAGGATTGTAGACCTATATGGGCCTATACTTTTCAATCGAGGCAGAATATTTTTTTTGCAAAGAACTACTCTCCGACATCTTCAACAGATTCAATTTGTTTCCTACTTGAAACTTAGACCAACTTCAAGTCTTTAGTTTTGTTTCATTTTTAACGAAAATCTACTGCTTAACTGGACGTCTGGAATTAAACTTTTGCGCATGCACGCAAATCCGTCATTCAGTACCGGTCCCTATAGTCATGCAACTGCTACGCAAATCGAAATGTAGAAGATAAATACATGTATAATTAATAGGAATATCAAAGCTTAATTACATGACCCATCTTCTAAATAAGGCCAAAAAAAAAACATGTTCAGCGTCCTGCCTTAAAGAAGCGGGAGGCCCTTTTTTCTCTCCAAAATGGCCGCCCGACTTGGCTATTTTTCAAGATGGCCGCCAGATTATTATTTTTTTTAATACCGCCATTGGACTAAGGAAATGACATATATGGGCTAGATGCAACAGACAAAGAGGCCAAAATGACGCCACTGTTTAAAAGTTATCGTTTTTTTCGGTTTGAAAAAAAAAGAGGAAGCGGCCTCCAAAAAGCCAGCGGGCGGAGACGCTAAACATGTTTTTTTTTTATTTGGCCTAAAGAGGCACTGTCCGATGGCCGATATCGCCGGGACGAATTTATTCATGAGTAGTTTTAAGACTGCTTTTTCAAGCCGATTTTGGAATGAACAATACCCTCACGTACTGGGGGAAAAATTATTACATGTATTTTGTTTCACGGCGATCATTTAAACTTTCAGTTCGCACGTTGGCAAGTATACAAAAAAAAATAACGAATGATTTTACTGACGAAATATTTTGTTGCCAATTTACTAACCCTATAAACTAGCAGTACATGTACGTATGACCAACGCAAAACTCGCGACCTTCAGACCGCAGCTAGACGAATAAATTCTCCCCAGACAGGTCACGAGGTCAACAGAGGACACGGTCTGGCATCCAAACTGCAAACGTCTGGTCTAAGATTGGACCAACGGGTTTTGTGGCCACAATACGCAATCGCGTAGGTGTACCGACGATTATTACCAGACACCGGTAAAGCACGGCATGCGAGCTGACAAAAAGCTGAGCCAAAATCGCCTATAAATTCACCAGCTCTTGTGC